CCAGGAATCTGACGTGGTCTGGAGTAGAGCTCTGAGACAAACATGCAGGCCCAGAAGCCCCAGCACATAGTAGGTCCTGGGGACCTGAGTACTCAAACTCGCCAGGTACAGATGGGGACCTTCCGTGCTGTGCTCACACAGGAGGGTGGCCTTCAGCAGGCGGCTCTGGACCAGGGGCTAAGGAGAGGGGGGATGGGAAGGGAGTCTCCGGGTGGGTGTCTGAGAACCAAAGAGGATGAGGTACTGCTGGCCTGAGCTGGGGAGGGACGGGGAAAACAGCCCTTGGAGTTGTCCGCAGGTCTGTTGACTGCGCCTGGCCCCCCGAGGAGGAAGTGGAAAGTCAATCCACAGTGAATGAGGCCTTTCAGGCTTCACTCAACCCCAGTGTTTCTCACAAGGAAGGTGAGCTGCGATCTGAAGCCGAGACATGGCTCTGTCCCAGCACCAGGCAGGGGAGTTCCTGCCACGTGTTGGCTGGCAGGGATGTCGACTGTCCTGCTGGGTGGGCCCGGGCTGCCATGCCAGGGACAGGTCCTCAGGCCCGATCAGCAGATGGGCAGAGACAGGGCATGCCCTCCTGATCTGCACCCAGCTAGGATGGGGGCACCTCCAGTGTGCCAGCTCTGCCCAGGGTCACTCATACCCACTGGGGCTGGCTGCTCCCTGCCTGACAGCAGCTGCCCTGACGGCTTCACAGTGGGGAGCACCGAGGCTCCAAAAGAAACTTGCCTGGGGATCCCTAGCAGGTAAATGGGGGCTTATTCAATATCTGCTATCTCTTATCCTTCTAGAAAATTCCACAGCCAGCTCGAGTGAGGCAGAAAGGAAGGCCCAAGTATACTACCGCGCATGTATGAATGAAACCAGGATCGAGGAGCTCAGGGCCAAGCCCCTAATGGAGCTGATTGAGAAGGTGAGTCCCTGGGACACACTCTGGCCTCCCTCCTGCCGCGCCTCCTGCCAGCCCCTCTGGCTGCAGCTCTCAGGCCCACTGGTGCTCAGCCAGCCCACACCTCCAGCCTCCGCACCCAGCTGGAACACGCAGCCAGTCTGTCTGCCACTGCGTGTGCATGCACGTCTGTGCGTGGGGGGACTGTCTGTTGTAATGTGTGGGGTTGTGTGTCAGCATCTGTTGAGGACATCTAAGTGTCTCAGTGCATCTGCGTGGGCCTTGGGGACGATATTCACTGGGAATCTCTTCCTCTGGATTGCCACTTCCCTTTCCTCAGGAGGTGGGTGTGAGTGTGCGAGAGGTGTGTGTTATTCCAGAGAAACCAACAGGGAGTCTTAGGCCAGCAACAGAGCCAGACGTGCTGGCTGGAGGCCTCACCTTGCTCCTGAGCCCAGGAGAAATCTTCCCCCCGGGCCAGGCTGCCTGGCACAGACAGAGATGGCTGCGGCTTTTCTGGCCACCCTTTGCTTGCTCAAGGGCTCACCATCCTATCTCAGTTCGGGGAAGGTATTGCTGCAGGCATGGGGACTCTCCCAGTCCCTCCTCTCTGGCACAGGCCCCATGTGCCAGTGTGTGCCAATCCTGGAGGACCAAAGAGAATTTTTTTAAGTCCCAACTTGGAGAGAGACCAAGGTAGACCATAGCTTATCAGCCTTTTTCAAAATACAGAGCCTTATTTCCCATAGTCACAATTGGATTTATGTCTTAATAGTAATCACGTTCGTGTGATTGATTGTCCAACAAATGAACAGCACAGGGGGCAAAGTCTCTGGGATTCACAGCTCAGTTGTTAAGGATGAGTCTTTGCTCCCTCCGTGGGTCTCCAGGTCACAGGTCAGAAGCCCTTTCATTTGCTCTGGATGCTCCCAGAGGTCAGATGACTGCTCCAGGGTCACAGAGCAAGTCAGCTGCAGAACCAGAATTTGCATACAGGCTCCTTACCACCTTCCCCTCCCTATCTGATCTGCCTTCTCCCAGCTCGGAGGCTGGAATATCACAAGTCCCTGGGCCAAGGACAACTTCCAGGACACCCTGCAGGTGGTCACTGCCCACTACCGAACCTCACCCTTCTTCTCCGTCTATGTCAGTGCAGACTCTAAGAACTCCAATAGCAATGTGATCCAGGTGAGCAGGCCTGGGCCAGGGAAGCAAAGGGTGTGGCCTCCTGGGGTGGAGGGAGACCTGCCCTGGGCCGCGGCAGCAGGCTCTGGTTTCTAAGCCGGGGTTATTTCTGGCAGCCCCAAGCAGTGAGATTTTTACAGGCAAGAGACTATGAGAGGGCAGACTAGCCATCTCGGTGGGCAGCTCATCATGGGCCACAGAAATGACAAGTGATATCAACTCCTGGGCACAGCTGTAGCCACCTCTTTGTCCCCTCCCTTAGCCTCTGGCTCTGTGGTGCTGCTTGGAATGCTTTTGGTCCATCTCTCCCACCAGAGACTGCCCAAGGCTGAGGATCAGCACACCCAGGAGAGCCCCCAGATTAGGGGTCATAAAGGCTTAGTTCTCAGCCCAACTGCGCCACTCACTCACTGTGTGACCTTAACAAGCGTCACCCTCACTGAGCTACACTTTCCTTTTCATCCTAATGAACTATAACAGCAGCTACCCAAGTTGAGGCAAGGTGTAGCCAGAAGGTTCTAATGGTAGCCATCAGGAATTGACCCTCCTCTGCCTGCCCCACTCTCAGGAAACCTTGTACTGACACTGTCCTCTTGAATCCTCATTCCAGCTCCGAAGGTTAGGTGTTATCCCTAACTTTCTGGGCGAGGAACCTGGGGATCAGAAAGGTTAAGTAACTTGGGTTAAGATTAAGTCACTGTGTTGGCTCCTCGCCACTTGGGAAGGGTTTAGAGAAGTAGAGTGCATTGCTGAGGCAAGGGGTGTTTGAAGAGGAAGGAGGCTCTGTCCAGCCCTCAGAAGGGCCCAGGTCCCTGCAGCTGACCCCACAGGTGGGCAGGAACATGTCTGTCTTATCACTGAGTGATCCCATCTGTGACTTCAGCTACCGGCTTGTGCTCTTCCTGGGACCTGAGCTGGTCCTCAGTGCCTGGTGTGAGAAGTCCTGGGGCAGGCAGAGGCCGCAGGAGACACACAAGCCTGCAGCAGGGCCTTCCTCTCACTCTGCCTCCCTCTTTAGGTGGACCAGTCTGGCCTGGGCTTGCCCTCCAGAGATTACTACCTGAACAAGACTGAAAACAAGAAGGTGAGTGGGACTTTGCAGTGGTTCTTCCACCGTGTCCCCCACAGCATACCTGGGCAGGTCTTAGAAGCTGGGGGAACACAGGGGTATCACTTTCCTGATGGGCAACAGGCAGCCAAGTCAGGGGAGGGATGCCCCCAGGCTCGCTAGTTCATATGCAGGCACTGTGGGCACAAAGGACAGGGGTTAGGTGTCATTTGTCCCCATTGTAAAGAGGTGCAGTAGCAGCCCCCACCATTTGATGGTCTCAGACCATTTATATACCTCACCTCTAACTCTCCCAGTCACCCCAAAGTCACTCAGCTTCTCTGAACATCATTTGCTTTATCTGTCAAATGGATATTTGTTTTACCTTGCCCTATACAGAGGAAGAAATAAGTCTCAGAGACAGAAGTGACCTGTTCAAGGTCACACAGCCAGTAAGTGGGGAGATCCAGAGCCACAACCAGATCACCTCCAACCCCTCACAGCTCTCCCTTCCCCTGCCCGGCCCACCTGAGGTTCACTCTCCTGTCTACTGGGCTCAAGGTCCAGTAAGAGAGGGAGACATTACTTAACTGACCACCCAACTAGATGCCAACTGTATACATTGTGATCAGGGCAGAGGGAGTCAAGAAAGGACTTGATTCAGTTCTAGGGACATGGTGGCAGAGGGTGATTCAGAAAAGGTGCATTTCCAGAACAGGAAGATGGCTGAGGATGAGCCCTGAATGCAGGGCCAGAGCAGCAGGGGCCAGCCTCAGGGACCTGTGTGTGCCCAGAGGCGGTGGGCTTTACCAGGAGCGCCATGGACACCAGTGAATACACACAGCGCCAGACTCCTCCCCAGAGCTGTTTTCCAGCATGTTTCCTGGGCCCCATGCACAGGGCCGCAGCTGGGCTGGCCTCACCTGGCCCACTGGGCGGCAGGTGGCAGCCACTGACAGACAGTTTTGGGGTGCTGGGTTCCACAGGTGCTGACCGGATACCTGAACTACATGGTCCAGCTGGGGAAGCTGCTGGGCGGGGGGGATGAGGACGCCATTCGGCCCCAGATGCAGAAGATCCTGGACTTTGAGACAGCGCTGGCCAATATCACCATCCCCCAGGAGAAGCATCGGGATGAGGAGTTCATTTACCACAAAGTGACAGCCGCTGAGCTGCAGGTACCCTGTGCGCCAGCTACTGCAGGGGCAGGGCCACTGGAGTACACAGAGTCGGACAGGGCTCTTGGGGGGAGGGGTCATACCCACTTCATCATGACCTTAAAGCCACCCTTGGAAGGAGGTGTTTATGCCCAGGTTACAGATAGACTGGGGCTCAGACAAGTAAGATTACCTGCTGGTGGCCACAGAGTGCAAAGGGACTCCAGAGCCAGGCTTCTTCCCTCGCCGGGCTGCTTCGTGTGACAGCATTTCCCTAGCAGCTCCCAGTCATCCAGCACCGAGCACTGAGTAAAGGTCGGGTGTGGATTCCGACATTGCTTCTCCCTTTGGTGAACAGGAGATGAAGAGACATGGTCAGGGCCCAGAGGCTCCTGAGGGCAGGGGTGCTGGCCCTGGGACTCAGGCTTGGCTCAGCTTTTGACCATGTCCCTAGGCGATATCCAGAGGTGTAACTGGGAGTCAGACCTGTACTTTCTGTGAAACTGGTGTGACTCAACGGAGACCTGCTGTCTCCTCCGTAGGTCAGCCTTGCCGAGGCTTCCCCTGGTGGCTGCTCAGGCCTCCAGGGCCTGGGGTGGACTTCCTACTGCTTCCTTCTTTCTGGCCCCTGTGCTGTTGCTGACCCGCTTGTCCTGGGCCCTGGAGGTCTCCGAGGAATGAGCAGAGTGGTCCCAGATCTCCCTGTTCCTTGCCCTCAGGCAGGAGCACCTGGTGGCCCTTGCTGTTCTGCTGGGGCGGACCCTGTGCCTGCGGTGGGTTCCACTGCCGGTCGGTCTTCTCCCAGCTTCTCTCCCATCCTTTCCCTCTTCCTTCGAGGAGGAAATTCCTTCCCTTTTTTCCTCCTCCATCTGACAGATGTATCAGGGGCCACTTGGGCCCCGCTTTCCTGTGCTTCTGGTCTGGTGGGGACACTAAGAAACAATCCCAGTCTCCCTTCCTAGTGCTGTGGGCGAGAGAAGCAGGGCACTGAGGCCAGGTGGGGAAGGGCTGGGGAAGCTGAGTGTACACCTGCCCTGCAGGGACCTTGGTGTGTGCAGGGCCTCGTGGGCTTCATTCTGGAAGTCGTGCTTCCATTGGTTTTCCTGGGTGAAGTGTGTGTCCCTCTGGCCCCAGGCACAGGGCTACAGCCATCCCTGCTCCACCCTGGCCTAATGGGCAGCAGTTTGGGAGTGTTGAGTCCCTGGCTGACTGGATACCTGCACTACATGGTCCATCTGGGAGGCTGCTGGGCCCGGGGGTTAGGGCACCACCTGGACCCCGATGCAGCAGATCCTGGACTTTGAGACGCACTTTATCCTGAGGGCTGCGGGGGGTGGGGTCTCCCAGGCACAGGTGCAGCCCATGCAAAGACCTGGGCTGAGGCAAGAAAGCCCAGCCTTCTGGTGGCACAGCTGCCCCTCTGGTCTCCAGGGAGGTTGGTGGCAGGGTGAGTGGTTCGTGCGGTTTGTTATGGAGATCGGCAGCCTGTGTTGGGCACCATCTGGCACTGTTTTTCCGCTCTGAGGCTGGGAGGTGGAGGGAGATGCAGTTCGCCCCCAGCTGCAGGGGGCCTGGCCTGAGCACTCGCCTCACGGCTCTGACATGGTGCTCAGAGAATGGACATCAATCTGGCATGGCCAGCAGGTTCTGCCCCGGGGAAGCCTCTCCCCATTGCTTTCACTCTCTTGTTTCATGGAAGAAAGGAAAGGTCATAACTTCAGCAGGGGCTGAAGACCACACAGTGCCTGCAGGGGGCCTGGAGTCAGAGGGTCACACCTTGAGCCGTGTGGCCTTGGCAGGTGAGGAGCCCACCCTGAGCCTTGGTTTCCTTCCAGGTAAAAAGCCCTTGCTCATCTGCTCACACCTGTTCTGTGCGGGAACAGAGACAAATGAGACACCGCCCCTACCTTCACCAGGGATAGTGGCTCTTAACTCTTAAGTCATGGAGTCTTTTGAGAACAACTCAAAAACTACAGACTGTCACCCATGAAAAATGGGCATGTGTGCATGAAAAAAACACACAGGCTAACATTTAGAGAAGTCCTGGATGCCCCCAAAACCTGACTGGCCTGCCCGCGGGTTATGAGGACATAACATGACGCAGAAGATGAGATTTTGTTTTGTAAACTGGCATGCGCAGTGGAAAAGTAGCATCCCAGAAGTAAATATCAGTAGTGCTGTGCTTTTGTGATCGGTGATATTTCTCAGGTCCCTATCACTAAATTAACTTGAATCATTCCACCCTGGGACAGAGTGTCTTCTTCTCTGGTAGCTGGAGATTTGTTTTCTTCTCCTACTCAAGATGAATCGAGGAGAGGGACTCCAGGCTTA